GGTCCCCAGTATTCTGAGGTGTTTGTGCCTCTAGCTCAGGCACAGCAAAAGGGGAGATGGGTAAATCCATGGGGGCCACACAGAGGCCAAGGTGTGAGCAAGCGAGACAGGAGAAGACCCCAAGAAAAGAGGAGAAGGTGGAAAGGGAAAATGACTAAGAAAGGAAAAACCAAGGACTGATGCCACAAAATAGGCTTGGAAGGAATTTGTTCAATAAACTAAGAAGAAAAATGCAGCTGAAGAGAAAAAACGGAGAAAGAGCCAGAAAGTCCAGGGCTCGAGAATACTTAGACACCATCCCCATGCCAGTTATTTAACAGTGTAAATGTCAGAAATCACTGCAAAAAAAAAAAAAAGATTCCTAGTTATATATTAGGAATAATACAATGTATTTTAATGAACTATTATTTGTGTTTATATATATTTATATATATTTATATAAATCAATGTTTATAGGAATATATGGTCTGAATAGATGTATAAATTATGTGAGTCATAAATACGTTTCAACACAAACATAGAAATCATTCTGAATATGATGTATGACCTAAGGTTTTCCATTCTCGTAGGAATATTTTGTTTAGAAAAAAATTCCATTTCAGAAATACCAAATAACAGACTCAAGGTGAGCGACACACACCAGCAAACTCAAGTCCACAAATCACACAAGATTCCCATGCAGTCCCAGATCCGCTGGCCCATACACTGTGGAGTTTTGTTCCACTGGCAGTAATTCATGTTACAGCAACTCCAGGTGAATGTGTGTGCTCTTTAGCAAGGACCCTGCCTGTGGACTAGAGGTTGTCTGCCGCAGCCTCCTGACTTCTTCCATCCCTCCATTCCACTACAGCCCCGGTCGCTCGGATCTACAGACTCACCACTGGCTCTCACTGATTACCTTACTCATCCTTGGGCACTGAATCACATAGATTCTGCTCAGAAACAGTCTTTAACATCCATCCCGAGTCTGCCCTATTCCCTGTCCTCTGGACTATAAATGCCCACAGAATCTAAACTGAATTATTCCCCATCAAATGTCTACTCCAGCTCGTCAGGACCTTGGGCAGCCTGTGACTTCTCCCCAGTCAGAGCACTGACCTCCACTCTGGTATCTGAGACCTTAATGGCTCTTGTGTATTGTTTAAGGAAACACAAACAAGCCCGCACATGGTGATGCAGCCTGTAATCCTTGCACTAGCTTTGAGCCCAGCCTGGGCTATTTACTGACTTATGGGAGACCCTGAATCAAAATTTTAAACTTCAAAAAAGGACTTGGAATGTAGAACAGTGTGATCCCTCTGGATTTAGTCCCCAGTACTAAAAACAAGCAAAGATATGCATTCAATTCAGAGCTCTCCACAATATATTCAACTCTAACTCTAAACAAATCTAATTTCCCCACCGGGCTGAAGACCAATCAAGCTAACCTGGTGTTCTTCACTGTTACCCAAGCAAAACACACACACACGCTTTTCTGCCCTTACACCTTAACCTGAGATTTTCTTCACCTTGAACTCCAACAGCCCATTATTTGGATTAAAAACCTCCCTATCTATAAAGACTCCCTATCCTTAAAGCACTACCTATGTTTTAAAAGAGATTTCAGCCACACCATTCCATCCCTTCCTCAATGGGACCCTCATAAAAATGTGCAGAGACTATACCCAGTACTGTCTCATAGGTATTTGGCATTTCTCTTAGTCTTTAGTCAACAGTGAGCTGACACACAGTCCTCATCCTCTGTCCCTGCATCTTAGTCACTGTCACATCTCTAGAACAAATACCTGACAGCCACAATTTAAAGGAAAAAGGGTTTATTTTGGCTCATGTTTTTGTTTTGTTACCGGGGATTGAACTCGGGTCCTTGCGCTTGCAAGGTGTGCCACCGAACCGCTGAGCTAAATCCCCAGCCCCTGGCTCATGCGTTTGATCGGTACTTGGCTGGCTCCAAGGCAGGCCAAGCTCGGAGGAGGAGCCCTGGGAGAGAAATGATGTTGAAATCCTGGCAGTGAGGAAGCGGAGAAGCAAGGAGCCAGAGCGGGAGATATATCCTTTGGGTCATTCCTACCGTGACCAGGCTCCCACTCCTGGGAGCAGGTCAGCTACATCACTCCACGACATTCTTCCAAACCCCACTGGGGAGCACATGAGGCCTCTGGGGACAGTCTCCACCCCAATCAGAACAGCTTCACCAGCTAACACAGCACTCTGTGTTTCTGAAGCTGAGTTCACTTCGCTGTTCCCAGTGATGAAGGCTGAGCTCTTCTAAGTGACATACTTCAAAACCACTTTTAAAATATTTTAAAGAAACCAATGTTTGGATTTCAGTAATCATAGCTGTGCATGGGGTTCAGGGCTGCTTTGACAATGCCAGATGAAAGTTTGTTTCCACACAGTCAAGCCTCTTGCTGTTCTCACGGGTGCAGTTTATACACAGGAAAGTCACTGGGCAGGACCTTTATGCTATGGAAGTTTGAGGGAGATGTGTGTGCTGAGAACAAGTGGCCGCGGGAAGAAGCAAACTTTTGATGGAATGAACATAATCACTTTCAACCAGCTCAAACCAAAATAAGCACGTTTCTTATGAGTCACAGTGAGAGAACACTGATGGACTGCACTTGAAAGGCACAGTGTGTCTAACGCAGCTGCTGCGTGGCCGAGCCAAAATACTTATCCCTGTTTGACTTTTGAGGCCTTGAGTCAATAACAAGCCCAGACTACACGGAACAAAGTTGCTCTCACAGGATTAAATGCACAATAACTAGGCCAGGCTATCTTTCTGTCCAACTGTCCATTCATCTGCCTGGCCATCCATCCATACATCCATCCCAGGTCCCCTCTTGGGCACCCCTACAGTACCTGTGTGTTATACACACGTACACATACTGATGCATACTAAGGACTCACTTTGTATCAGACACGATTCTATATGTTTCATATTTCTCAAATGTCCCAACAATTCTCTAAAATAGTCACTGCTAATATTCCCATTTTACAGATGAAGAAATCAAGGCTTGGGATATTTAACTAATTGCCCAAGTTCACACAGCTAACGGGACCATGATTCAAATCTTGCAAATTTCCTCCTCAGGTTCTATGCACCCTGCCACAATATGATAAACCATGAGTGCAGGATTGCGCTTTCTTTGTGGAGCAGAAGTTACTCTGTTTCTGGCAAGGACTTACGGGGTTTACCATAGAGGCAAAGGTCCAAATGCACATACAAATAGAGAATCTGCTACGTGTTCATACCAGTTATGAAACTCTTTCTTAAATGGAATTGAGAAGGTAAATCTAAAGACAGAACAAACTTGTAAAGAGGCCCGTGAGCTGGGTAAAGGTCTCCACCAGGCCTGGCAAACATGGTCAGAGCACTCGCAGAAGCATATTCTATGCAAGGTCTTATAAAAATGCTTCTATGGGCATCGATTTGCAAGGTGAGAATCCTTTCATTCAGCCTTAACATAAAGAGACGAGGTTTGCTGCCTATAGAAATACACAAAAGCAAACAAAACTGTGCTGTGCGTGACTCAGTACTGGAGTGGCTCAGATGTTGAGTAAACAACAAATCACTTTCTACAAGAGGAGAAGAAATGTTCTATATCCCACAGCTTCTGTCTGCCCAGTTCCACAGAAAGGTGCCAACTCAGGTCCTCAGGAGGTCGCTCCCAACTGCACCATTTGAAGGCCACTTCTCCCTTCTTTGTTTTCTAATCAAACAACAACAGAAAAAGTCCACGAATATTTGTTCAAAACTCATGATATTAAGGAGGCCCTGCCAGAGGCAATGAAAGCCAGAGAAGCTGAGTAACAGTTGAATTTGGAATTAAATATTGGATGTCACTTAGCTTTCCTTCCAAAGGAAGGGCTGCCCTTAATAATTCTGCAACTGGTGGGCTGATGAAGCTAAAAGAACAAGTTGTGGCTATCAGTATTTTAAAATATTTTTAATATTTTAAAGGGTTGGGCTTCAGCCTTCACCAGGTAAACAAAGCACACACAGATACCTGCGCCGTCCAAGTCAATTCTTGGACTAGTTTCTCCACTGCCACACAGCCGGCATGTGCAAGACCTCACACTGCATTCCTGGGCCCAGGCACCAAGAAAACACATTTTCCTATAAACTCAGTTTTGATCTGTCTGTGTTAGTGTTGGATGTCTTAGTCTTCACTGCATCAAAGGCAAAATAAGCTACTATTTTTCCATACTGATTTGCCAAACCTTCCTGGAAGGCCGTGTGTTATCCTTTTACTAATGAAATTCTTGTATCCTTCACAAGGAACTACCGCAGGCTCTTGGCCTCAAATCAATGACATATTTACATGAAACTGATAAAGAGGTTTAGGGTCTCGCATCTTTAAACTGTGTAAAGGAAATGAATGTGTTTTCACTCTGCCCTTATAAAATTCCAAGTCTCTCTGCAGCTCCAGAATTCAGCGACTACAATACAAGAACAGTTGCCTGGAAGTAAACAAGTGCCTGATTATTTTTGTTGTTTATGTTACAATTTTTTGATGCAGATGCTTGTCTGTGAAACATATCCTAAGTGTGAAGGGGCAAAACAGAGTTCAAAGCAAAATCTGTTCCCCTGGAACTGAGGAAAATAGTATTTCCACTCCCCATGTTTCCAAGATGAAGATAAAACACAGCTTATGATTGTTACATGCTATGATTAACATTCTTGATGAGGTAGGGGTGCTCAGAAAAAAACTCCCATTTGCAAAGACACTGGGCGATTTAGGATAAGATATTCGAATAGAGGTGCATGGGAGTTAGAATTAGATGAACGACGCTTACAAGCAATATTTATTTCATTTAAGTTTGGATCTCAGGGAAAAGTATTGCAACAAATACTGCCAGAATTGCCCAGCTGATTGCAATTACTTCCATGGAGTTTATCTGAAGCGAGGCGAGGCCCTGCTCTTCTCTCTCCTAAAAGGCCGCAGAACCCTCACCTGGGAAGAGCTGACCTCCCCGAGGGGAGACTGCCCTTGCCTTACCTGCGCAGGTGTTCCCGTCGTAGGTCTCGCACACCCACTCGTGGCACTCGCACAACGGCCCGAAGTACGTGCCCGGCTCGGTCACGTGGCAGATGCACACGCCACAGTCGCACCGGCCCTGGCCGTGGCACAGAGCGTGGCCAGGGGGCTGCCCAGGTGCGCGGCACCGGCGCTCAGACTCCGCCCGGGACAGCCTGCAGGGGGCGCCCGACCAGCTCCTGGGGGGCGAGTGGGACAGAGCCAGACAGGGTCAGACGGGTCAGACGCAGGCGTTGCCCCTTTCGCTCCAGCCTCGCGTCCTCCCGCGACCGTGGGCCCCGCGGACAGCAGGCCGGAGGCCCGAGTTCCTCTGGGGCCACGCGTTCCCGTCCACCTGAGCGATGGCCCGGGCTTCGAAGGGGACCGGGGATCCCGCCACGCCCCTGAATCTCCTATGCACGCATGGACCAGACACAGATTAGTGCAAAGCATGACGCTTGGCCCACTTTTCAGCTCTCTTTTTAAAAAGTGTCATTGCTATCTGACGGTCGGGGAACGGTTATTTCAGTTGTTTTTAAGGGGGTGAATGTATAGAAGGCGTTTTGCATATTTATGTATAATTAGATCGACAGATAGCTATCACGGGGCAGTGCTTGTATTTTAATTTCCACTAAGCAGTGGGTATGAACTTGTGGAAAAGTTCCGCAGTGGTGGTACACCTCAAATTCTCTTGCAGAATTATCGTACAAAATGTAATGCGCACCCCGTGCAGATGGTGCTGGGAAACACACAGCAGCTGTGGGCTGTGAGACCGTCAGGTACCTTACGGGCCCCTCTAACTCTTGAGAGAAATTCACCCTGCCTGAGTTTGCAGGGGAGCGATGGTATTTTTACGTGCTGATTGCATTTTCTGAAGGCGAAGCGGAACAGAGAGGGAGCGACGGGGTGGACAGAAACGCAGAAGCGGGAACAGGTTGGGAGCAGCTAGTCCCGGGTCCCGCTGGGCGGCGGCGGCCCGTGGCCAGGGACAGCGCCGTGGGCGCCTGAACTCACCTGAGCGAGGGCGAGGAGCTCTGGGGCGCAGCCCACA